CCCGCCGCACCTGCGGCCGACGAGCCGGGGGGCCCGGGCGGCCCCCCGCGCAGGAAGAAGTCCCGCTCCGGCGCGTCCGGCCTCCGCCGCGCCTTCAGCTGGCTGCGGGGCAAGCGGCGCAAGAAGGCGGCGGCGGGGGCCGAGGGAGCCGAATCGGCCGCCCCCCGGGCCAAGAAGGCGGACGACAAGGCCAGGAGGGCCAAGGCTAAAGGCCGAGGTAAGGCGGCCGGGCACCTGGGCTGCGCGCCGGCCGGCGCCGAGGGTGCTGCCGGGGTGGCTCCGCCGGGGGTCCGCGGCGTGTTGGAGGGGTGAACCCCTAGGCGCCGGGGCCGGGGGAGCGGAGAGCCCGGGGCTCAGCCCGACACCCCCCATTCTCCGCCGCCCCCGCCCCGGCATTTCCCAGACTCAGCCCGACCCCATTCTAGGGCTGGGGCAGGAATCTCCGGGCTTAAGCAGGAAGTGCTGGTAGTCTGGCTCTCGGGACGGTGAGGCAGTCCCTCTCCCCCAGACTCACCCAGCTTCTGCCCTCTGCTGAGTCAGGGGGCCGGACAGTCGGCTCTGGCCTGGGGCCCATGGGAGAGGCAGGTGGCCTTGCGTCTCTGGTGGGGATTCCTCCAGGTCCAGAAGGTCAGCTGCACTCAGAAGGTGTTTCAGCCCCACGGAGGACCCAGCATGGAGCACAGCATGCTTTGGGCTCTTACCGGTGTTAGCTCTTCCCACCCGGCCCCCCTCACCATTCCCCTGGGCCAAACGGCAAATATCCACCTCCGGGCATGCTGAGCTCCCCGATGAGAACCAGCCGTGGTGCCCCTCCGCATCACTCCTTCCCCCAGTCCTGGTAGAAACATGCCCGTGTCAGATGGGGGAAACTGAGGCCCACATTAATGGAGAGGCTGTACCTGAGCTGCGATGGGTACTTAAAATAACCACAGCCAATTCCCTGTCTCTGGGCTCTCTCTGGCCTGATGGATGGGCAGCCTGAGGGGAGGGAAGGGGTGGCTGACTTGGCCCATCCCTGCTGGGGTCACTTTCCTTTTGGGCACTTGCTTGGTTCTTTTCTCATTTCCCCCTCTGTTTCTGTGTCCCTTTTGAGGGGTAGGGCATGAATCTCTGCAAGAGGGTGGGGCTCCCTTGGGGCTTGCCCTGCTCCGAAGTCTACCTTTCCTCTGGCTCGAGCTGCAGGGCCAGAGGTGAGGAAATGGCGGTGTGTTCGGGCCCATCCCATACTGTGTTTACCCTCCCGGTGTCCTTTAACCACCTCCTCTGCAGGAGACTTAGAAGGACCGTTTGAGGGGTCAGGAAGAGTGTGAAAAGCCTCTTGTGTGATTGCATCCGGCCTGATCTTCCTTTTGGATGAGGGCCTTTGGCCCAGGCACATATAGAAGTCAGGGTGCTGGGGCAGGGATAGCTGGGCCAAGCCCTGAGGGAGGGTTTGGGTGAGGGGTGTTTCTCAGGGCTCCCAACTGGATGCAGAGTCTGTCTTAATGCTGTCCCACTGGGATTCAGTCTGAAGTCATCCCCATCTCAAGAGGGCATGGGTCAGAATTGCAGCAGGATGGATTCTGGTCAGATGGTCAGGATTGGAGATAGAAGGCTAGTGGTGTACCCCAGGGCAGTGGACCCTTTTCCCCTCTGAGACCAGCCTGGAGACAGGGGCTGGAAAAGCTGACCCTGTAGGTCCCTGCTCCAACAGCCTGGGTTGGGGTCATTGGGTCAGTGGGTAGGCCTCTCCCTGCCTTGTGTTAGGTATCTGGTAGCACTGGGCTTTCTGGGCAGCATGTCGCCTGATTTGAGCCCACGTGCATAGGAACCACCTCCCTGCCCCTGGCTGTTGTATCTCCAGGTCTGGGGGTAGCCCCCAGAGGAAGTCCTACTCCCTTTTGCTCCAGCCTCCTATTATTCCAATTGTTTCCTTGTCACCTGCCTGGCCCAACTTCTTCTCTGTTTATTAAGAGAAATAAATCCGATCTCTCTAATCTCCATTGGCACTGCTGGTCAGGAAGGGAAAGCCCAGAGAAGACTTAACTCTTTCTGGGGAAAATGTTCAGAATGGAGATGGCAAAAGGCCCAGAGAGAATTGAGGGAAGCTGGCAGAGTGGGAGGAGTAGGAGAGTTAGGCAAATGAGAGTTCAAATTCTGGCTCAGTCACTAGCAAGCCCCGTGACGTTGGGCAGCAACCTCTCTGTGGCCCCACTGATTACTGTCTCAGGGCAGAGAGGGGACCTTCTCACAGGGGTGACCCTCTGGCTGGACATTGCATTGCTGGGTCCGTGACGCCAAGATTGTCTCTGTAAGATCTCACAAGAGCGAATGCGGAAATTAGAGGAACGTGAAATCACCACTGAAATGCAAGGGCTTACTCTTATTAATCACCTTCACCTGAGCTCTAAGGACCCAGTCTGGTGGGAATGGGCTCAGAGGCTGACAGGACAACTCTGCCGGCCCTCCCAGGCCGCGTGACACCGGCAGATCGTGAGCCCCTCTAAGCCTCAGTTTCCTGATCTATAAAATAGGGGGAATAAATCCTGGCTTTATACGGGTGTTTCAGGGGTCATATGAGATAACCGAGATGCAGGTGCTTTGTGAACTGTGGAGAATGGTCTGGATGGGAGCAGGTTTCTGCAGTTGTGATGCTGAGGACTTGGACGTTAGCTGATCCATGTTTGGAACTCAACTCTTGGTCACACCTCAGATACCCATGGCAGTGATGATGATGATTGAGGGGGAAGCCACGGAAGGTGGATTCTTAACCCTTGTCCAACAGAAGACTCAGGCATAAGGAAAGGTAAACAAATAAGAATCCATATTTTCCAGAAATATCGCCTGGACTCTAGACAAGTATGTGGGGAGGAAGTGTTTCTGGGACAGACGCCAGGACTGGAGCCCAGTAGATAACCAGGGGAGGCTCTCTGCAGGAGGTGAGCAGAGTGTAGAAGGAGGGCAGGGTGCTGGCTAATTTGATTGATTTATTTGAGAGAGAGAGAGAGAGAAAGAGTGGGTGGAGGGGAAGAGGGAGAGGAGAGAGAGAATCTCAAGTAGACTCTGCGCTGAGTGGGGAGCCATTGGCGGGGCTTGATCCCATAACCCCAAGATCATGACCCAAGCCAAATCAAGAGTCGGGTGCTCAACCGACTGAGCCACCCAGGCGCCCCGTGTGCTGGCTAATTTGAAGAAGCAACATGAAGGCTGCTATGTGTCAGACCCTGGCTGGGCATTTTCATGAATGTTTTCCTTTGTCCTTAACCACAACCTGGGAGATGGGCAGTTATTACCATTTCTAGGTGAGAAAATAGGCCCAGTGGGTAAAAAGTAAGTTGATCCAGGTCACTCAGCTTCATTTATTTGAAAAAGACACATTCTTTATTATGTCGTGTCCAGCACTGTTCAGGGTAATGCGAATACCTGGGACAGGACAGGCAAGGTCCCCACCTGCATGGAAATGATGTTCACGGCATGGCAATGGCAGAAACTCTGTCGGCCTCCTGAGGCCACACTCTGGAAGCCAAACAGTATGAGGCTAGGTCTGTTTCTGCCTCTGGAGAGGGGGAACCAGTAACCACTGTAGGAGAATGTAGCCCTCCTGAAGGTTCCTCTTGGGCAGTGGGCAGTGGCCAGGGAGGGGACCGGGTGGTCAGAGTGCGGGTGGCTTCAGTACTGAAAGAACTGAGGTCCAGCAGATTTAACCTGAACAATGCTGGCCACTCACTCAGGAGGAACTCTCCTTGGTGTGGAGTTGTGGAGAGACTCTTGAGTTTGAGTTCTGCCCCACTGTGGGCCACATATGCCCTGTCTTGACAGTGATGGGGTTTCATGGCCTCTGAGAGCCCTCCTGGTTCTAAAATTCTGGTTGGAGAATGGGCTGGGGCCACAAGGGTGGGAGCCATGCTCAGGAAAGGAGAGTCTGCCTTTTGGCCAGTCATGGACAAGACATTGGGACCCAGTGGCCTAGATGTTATAGTAAGGTGGGCGGGGAGAATCCGTGTGACTAATGCCATCTCTCTCTGTTGAGGAAGGGGCCTGTATAGCTCTTTCATTTTTCAATTTAGTTTTATTTTTTTTTAAGATTTTATTTATTTATTTGAGAGAGAGAGAGAACGAGCGGGGTGAGGGGCAGAAGGAGAAGCAGACTCCCCACTGAGCAGGGAGCCTGATGCGGGGCTCCATCCTGGGACCCCGGGATCATGACCTGAGCCTAAGGCAGTCGCTTAACCGACTGAGCCACCCAGGCGCCCCTTTGTTGCTCTTTTAAAGCAAAATGAGGACCCAAAGCCACTTTGGATAATGGACACTTGGCCTATCTAAGGGTAGGATAGTGTCTGTTTGCCTTTCTTTCTTTTTTGTGGGGGGGGGAGGGACAGAGGGGGAGGGAGAGAAAATCTTAAGCAGCCTCCATGCCCCGCACAGAGCCCATGCAGGGCTCGATCTCACAACCCTGAGATCGTGGCCACGAGCTGAAATCAAGAGTCAGATGCTTAACTGGCTGCACCACCCAGGTGCCCCTCTGTTTGCTTTTCAGTAAAAATGTATTTCCACACTCTGTGCCATTGCGTGCACTGTTTCCCCTACTTAGGGTGTGCTTCCCTTCACTTTTCTATCCACTGAACCTTTATTCATCCCTCAAGGCCCGGCGCCAGCATCATCATCTCTGTGATAGCCCCCAGGGAAATTACTGCCTCCAGACTAGAGCGGGGTGCTTAAGGGATTTGGAATTGGACAGTCTGTTTTTCTGGCCACCTTTTTGGGTAGGGCATCTCAGTGTCCTTAGCCTGGGGCCTGGACCAATGTGATTGGGGCAGGGCTCCCTCTGCTGTGGCATACATCCAGTGGGGGAGTGACTTCCATACAGGACTCTGTGTCCACCTCCTCCAGGCCCCTGTAAAGGGATGGGCATTATCTATCTTGGGTCCAGATGGGAGAGGGAGCCTCACTAATGTATATCAAAATACTCAGTAAGGGGCGCCTGGGTGGCTCAGTTGGTTAAGCGACTGCCTTCGGCTCAGGTCATGATCCTGGAGTCCCGGGATCGAGTCCCGCATCGGGCTCCCTGCTCGGCAGGGAGTCTGCTTCTCCCTCTGACCCTCCTCCCTCTCATGCTCTCTGTCTCTCATTCTCTCTGTCTCAAATAAATTAAAATCTTTAAAAAAAAATACTTAGTAAGTATTTAATATTAGGTAATAAGTACCTACTATGTGCCAGACATTGTCCTGGGGATGAATGAGAGACAAGGTCCCAGTCTCACGAACCTCGTAATCTGAGGGAGGAACCAGACACTGAACAGGTAATTAAGGGTCAAGAAGTGGGACAAAGGAGGGAGCATAGTGATCCCATGGGTGACATCAGGGATGCCTTCACGGAGGAGGTGACACGTGAACTAAAATGGAAGGATGAGGGGAAGCTGGGGGGTTGAGGGATTTGCAGGGCTGGAATCGGGCAAGGCACCTGCAAAGGGCTGGGGCCAACTGGCTGTCTGGGTTCTGTGGGTATAGGAATCGCCATCCCTCACTGTTTTGAACAGCCTGAGGGCAGGAGCTGGGTTGATGGTCCTTTCCCTCTGCCCTGCCCAGCACAGGGCCTGGCACAAAGTGGCTTTGGGTAATAGGTGGGTGATCCGATATGGGCCCCAGAGCTTGGGCATCTGCCAATTCCAGATGCTCAGCGTCGACGGCCTGAGATGCCACAGGCTGCCCTCATGGCACATACAGACGGGCGGCTGAGGCCCAGAGGACGAAGTGTCTCGCTCAAGGTCATCCAGCCGGCCAGCACTAGAGGTGGACTAGGAGCCCTCACCCGCCAGGCTGACCTCAGCTTCCCTACTCCTTTGTTCAGACTTCCAATGGAAAATCCCGTCCCAGAGAGGTGCCCCTACCAGGAGTGGGATGAGATGAGCGCGAAGCTGAGGCCAAGAAGGCCTCCATCCTCTCCCTTACCTCCAGCACCTTCAAGGGCTCGTTCCAGCTGCCTCTCCGCCTCCCTCCTCGCGGAGGCCTCAAATCCCCACTCATGGCCCACGTCCCAGCGTTCTGGAAATCCCCTTCAGGCTAGGATGGGCCCTCCCCCCACTGTTCTGTCCCTCTCCTGCCCCTGAAGCAGGGCTGCCAGCAAGGGTTGCTGAACTGGGGTGGCTAAATCCTGCGGCCAGAAAAATTCCCCCTCTTGTCAGAAGAGGGGAGAGGGAGAGCCTCCCCTCACCCAGCTGTCCCCCGGAAATCCCCCTCTCCCCAGCCCTCAAAGCTGTCTCAGCTGCTCCTGGCCTGTCACATGCGGATGAAAACTAATGAGAGGAGGCATTGTATATTGTTTGGGCCACGGTGAAAGTGGGGTGGGGTGGGGTGGGGAGAGCAGGTATCCACACTTCCACCTTCCGGCTGCACGTCTGCAGATCCGGCAGACCCCACTCGGGCCGACTTGGGGGAAAAGTAGGTGGCAGCAGCTTCCTGGGGCAGGATGGGTGAAATCGTTGTCCATCTCTCCCATTATTATACTCCACTGTCTGCTTTTGTGTCTCCTGCCCTCAGGGGCCGGTTCATCAAAGGTTGTCAGCTCTACTCACAGGGTGCCCAGGCCTGTGACTGGCACGGAGGGGAGACGGAGACAGCTCAGCTTGCAAAGGGTTTAAACCCCAAATCTTCTGGCAAAGTGCATAATTCCCCGGAGGCTGCTGCTGGGGTCTGCTCAAGGTCGGGCCTCCTGTCTGCTTAGGACACCCCTCTCCTCCAAGCCTCTAGCTAGGCGAGGTCTTCACCGCGCTGTTCCAGAGAGTCATGAGGCACTCAGGCCCGATGTTGTGGTTTCCAGGAGTTCTGGTCTTCCATACCAGCTCCTTCCCACGGTCCTACCCCAGGCGCTCTTATGCTCTTGGCTGGGGGCAACACTCTTCCTCTAGGATCCTGGAGCCAGCACAGCCTCTGTAGTGAAAGAAGGTGAGACTGGGACTCTCCCACCCGCACCGCTTCCCCTCTCCCAGTACGTAGGCAGCAGCATCACCACCTCCTTCAGCAGGCAAGCCCACCGTCTCTGCTTCCATCAGCTCCCGTTCAACACCCACAGCGCGCCTGCTGGGCGCCCATCGCTGTGCTGCGCTTGGGCATACTGAGGGGAGGGAGGCGATCACTGTCCTGGGGAGCTTGTTTTCTGGTTGGAAAGGAAAGGAAAGGAACCGCTGTCTCCAGACAAGTGTTGGGACAGTGTTACACAGGCTGCTGGCGGGCCCTGGGGTGTGATCGGTTCTATCAGAGGGCAGCACTAGCGCTGGTGGGAGCACAGAGGGCTGAGCTGGGGGAGGACGGGTGCAGGGAGGACTCCCTGGAGGAACAGACTGTCGGGCAGGGTACTGAGGAGAACGAGGAATCTTCCAGGCAAAAGTGGAGGAGGAAGAAGCACGTGGGAAGACCTGGAGGTGTGCAGTGGGAGAGCGGGGTGGTGGCAAGCAGCAGGGCTGTGGTGGGAGATGAGGTTGAACTGGGGGCAGGGCAGTTGCTGCCAGGCCTCTTGCAAAGGCCAAGGCACCTGCTACCCTCCAGACGTCCCTTGAAGCTCTTTGCATACCTGCCGTTGCTCAACTCATGCCAAGGGATCTGGATGTTATCCTTGAGTGTTCTCTCTGCTCCTCCACACCACCTTTCCCCTTTATGGGCCCCACCTGTAAATTGAGGGAACTGGGCTAGCAGATACTCTGAGGTCTCCTCCAGCTTTGACACTAGGACTCTCTTCTCTGTGCAAAGCAGGAGCCTGGTACACACAGCTTGGTATATATAGTGTATGTCTGACAAGTGTTTTCTGGATGGATGAATAAATATAACCCCTCAGGGACTGCATTGTTGTTAACCTCAAACTCTTAGCAAGGTATGCGCCTCAAGGAGGGTAGAGATCAGCTCTGACTCTACCATTTTGCAGGGAGGCACGGGGTGCCCTGGAGCCACTGGGCATAAGGGGCAGCACAGTGTAGTGGAGGGGTCTGCTCATGCTCGGGTGGCAGAAAGGATTAGCACTGAGGGCTCTGGACTCCCAGCCCAGCGGTGTCTCTGCTACACCATGCTGCCCCTAGTTGGAGAGACAGGGTAGAGCAATGGTAAAGGAGAGCCCCTGCCCAGGCTGCTGGGCCCTGGGCACAAGGGCACTTGTGAGGACATAGAGGTGAGGACAGCCTGGCAGCCTGGAAGATTTCTGGAAGAGGTGAAGCCTGGCCTAGGTTTGAAAAACAAAAGACTTGTACGACAGGGGGTGAGTGAGGGGCACACAGCCACGGGCAGCTTCACATACGTTAACCTCCACACTCCATTCCTTACACTCAGACACAACGTGACAGAGCCAGTCACAATTACATAGGCAGACGCACAAAAGCACACATCCAGACATTTGAAAACAGACTCCATATGGATATAGGCACACAGTCTCACACACAGAGGCATCCAAGTGTTCAGGGTCACAGACCTATACCCAGGTACACAACTACACAGCCACACTGAAGCATAGAATTACCAATGCCCAGTTAACATGCATAGGCACAGATAAACTGGAGGGGTAGTAGCATGGTCAGTGGGTATCGGAGTCAGTCTGGGTTTGAGTCCTAGTTCTGCAGCTTACTGCTGTTTGACTTTGGGCTAGTCAGGTGACTTCACGGAACCTCAGTTTCCCCATCTGTAAAATGGGGATGATAAAAGTACCTACCTTATAGAATTGTTTTGTGGCATGAAAGCAGTTATCAGAGCACCTGGCACATAGTAAAAGCTATATAAAAGGGTGCTGTTATTTTGAACTCGACTACCACAGAAATACAGTCAGATCGATACATTTGTACACACAGGCATAGAGACAGGAGATACACACACAGACACGTGACACTCACGGGGTGGAGGCTGGTGGGCCCTAGCACAGCCAGGCTCCGGACCCTGCCTGTCTGGGGCCCTGCTCCGAGTTCTCCGGGCTCCACTGCAGTCCTCAGAGAGGCGGCCCCTGGGCCGGGAGAGCGGGCCACCAGCCGGCCCCACCTGGACACGCTGGCCTTTCGCGAGCGCTCTGGGTGGGGTGGCTCAGCTGGTCTCCCAGGTCCGGGGAGGGGCGGAGCCTACGGGACGCGCGCGAGGCCCCGCCCCCCAGCCGTCCCCGCCCCCGGCCCGGCCATTGGCCGCAGAGCCCGGAGGCGTGGCTGAGCTGGGGCTGGGGGCGCCTGCGGTGGCCGCCCGCGCGTCTCTCTGCCTCCCTCCCGGGGCTGCGGGCCCGGCGGCCGGGCTGGTTGGGCTGCGCTAGGGTTTCCGCGCCGGCTCCCGCGCCCGCCATGGGCAACTCACACCACAAGAGGAAGGCCCCCAGCGGCCCCCGGGCCCGCAGCTTCTGGCGGTTCGGGCGGTCGGCGAAGCGGCCGGCAGGTAGGGGCCGGGGGTGGGGGCGGGGCAGGCGGGGAGGAGGGTCTCCCTGCCGCAGCCGCCGCCACCGCTGCTGCCCCCTCCCGGGGCTTGGTGGGTGTGAGCGTGGGGGGCCGGGAATCCCCCGCACAGACCCCACCCCTCACATGCGCAAAGAGGCACACGTACATACGAATACCCACGGGCGGGCACACGTACATGTTCACAATTTTCACAGTCACAACACCCACTCAAATGTACGGACATGCAGACACATATACATTTCACACCTACAGCATGGCTGTAGGACGCACAGACCCCGAGACACAGGTACACATACCTAGGTGTACGGTTTATACTGCCACGCGAATTATGCCACACGCGCAGATTCACACAATCGCACACACACATCAGTCATGTAGGTACAGTTGCCCAGCGGCTTAGGCACATAGATGTACACACGGGTTCAGAACTGCACAACCAACCAGACTCCCACACTCAGGCTCAAAGACAGAGCCTAAGGCGCTTGCACACACACACACACACACTTGTTAGCCCCCAACAGGCTCAAAGACAGAGCCTAAGGCGCTTGCACACACACACACACACACACACTTGTTAGCCCCCAACAAGCTGAAAGTTTGCAGGAGGGAGGGGAGACAAAGGTGCAGGGGAGAAGCAGGAAACCAGGGGCTGGAGACTCGGGGCCGCCTCCATCTGGCGTGATCAGGAGTCGGACTGGTTCTCTGGGCTCCCTCCCCGCCCCCACCTGCGTCGCCGCTGCCTCTCGTCCCCCTTCCCCCCACCGGCGGTCCCCGTGTTCGCTGCCGCATGTCCCCCCTTTCAGTGCAGCCACCGAGCTGGAACGCAGCCCTTTCCGGCGTGCTGCGGGATCCCTCCGCGGGTCACATTCCTGCCTCCCAAGTGGGGGGTGGGTAGAGGGGGAGAATGGAGAAAAGGCTTCCAACCCTAGGGCTCGGAAATGGGATTCCTGGTTTTCCCCAGCAGGTGCGACAGTTCAGGGTATCCCCCAGAGTCCCAAGGGGTGCTGGAGGAGGGACTGTGGAGGGTGGCTAGTTCCCTTACCTGGTGAATCTACCCCTTCCCCTGAGGAAGATAAGGGGTCCTCAACAGAGGCAGGTGTTCCTTCTGATCTTTGGGAGTGAAAGAATTCTGGAGAAGGTGGGGTGGGGTTCCTTCTGCTGTGGTGAGGGAAATCCACCCATGTCTTCCTAGGGTGGCCCACATTCCTAGAGGTTCTGAAATGAGCCTGATGATCTCATCCCTCCACATAAGGGGTGACAGGAAGAACCTGGGCTGGGTATTAGGGGGTCTGTGCTTTCAGTGCGGCTCCGGTATGGGCTCTGGTGACCTTGAGCAGATTGCTTTCACTTCTCTGCACCTCCTGGCTCCCACAGAGGGGCCTGTCGGCGGATTTAGGGGAGCGTAGCTTAGGTGACTTCTGGGACCCTTACAGTTCTGTCTAGCCATTTTGTGGATAAAGAGACTGAGGTCTGGAGAAGGTGGGCTTGTGCAAGGTCATTTGCCAGTAGCGGTTTGAAGAGTAATCGTCATAAAATAACAGCAAAAAAGGGTTAATTAAGTTCTGGTGGGGCTCTCTGCAGATTCCTCAGAAGGTGGATTGATGAGAGACTCCGGGACCTTCCAGGAGCCTCCCTGTCCTAGCAATCCTGAAATCCTGGATGTGTCCACCTGTCTCTCCTCTAGGATTCTGCACCGAGGGGTGGGGCTGGGGCTCTGCCTGCTCTCCTGTGGTCACTCTAATCTGATGGTTTCCTGAGAACCAACTGTGGGTCCGGACTTGTGACCATTTGTGGTGGGAGAGAGAGAGATGAAGAAACCTCTGTTTACAGTCTCGCCCACTAGCCCGTGTGCTCTTAAGTTCCTGCTGCAACTCAGGGACTAACCAGGCTTTAAGGTGGTCCTAAAAAACCAGAAAGCAATGTCAAGGCAACACAGAAATAAGTGTGGGGGCTGAGGAATATTCAGAAGGCTTTGGGTTGGGGACAGTTTTAGAAGACTGGGGAGACGGTCTTAATTTGGTCTTTGAAGTAACTACAGGGTTGGAGTGAGTCCTGAATTATTGATTAAATGAGAGAGAGGACCAGGAATGCACTTCAGCTCTGGGGCAGTGGTCGTGAGCAAAGGCATAGAGTTGAACCTGAGCGTGGAGGCCGGAGAGAAATGTAGTTGAGGCTCCTTCCTTTGCTTGGGAAGAGAAGGAGTTCCACTGTGAATGCAAACCTCCATTCCTTTGGTCTTACTTGTGCTGAGGATTCTAAGGCTTCCCCAGCACTGGGCCTCTGCTGTCACATGCCCAGGTATGGGACTGGGGTTTGAGTACTTATCCATTTGATTCATCTGTGAGAAGATGAGGGAAAGAATGCAAGGCAAGCAGAGAGGGCTGGAGTCTGTTGGTCATAGGGAGCCAGTGAAGGTGTTTGAGCAAGGGAGGAGCCCGTGAAAGTGGTGTGTTAGGAAGATGGCGCCACAGGAGGGGCAGGTGCAGGCAGGACAGGTTGGGGGGTGGGGTGGTGAGAGTGGAAGCTCCAGAGAGCAGTCTGGAGGCTATTGCAGTAATCCAGGGGAGAGGTGGTGAGGTGAGGGCTGGGGACAGGGTGGGGGCTGTGGGAGTGGAGAGGAGTGGCAGCTGCAGAGACACTGCGGAGGAGGAGGCAGAAGTGATAGGACCTGGGATTAATCAGATGTTGGGAATAAGGGCCAGAGAGGGCTATGAAGTCTCTGTGCTCGAGGCTGCTCAGCTGGGGGACAGTGACAGAGATAATAACTCAGAGCTAAAAATAAGGGCCTATGCTAAACCTTTACATTGGTTAATTCATTCGTCCCGCAACAGTCTTATAAGCTAGAAGCCATTATAGTCCCCATTTAACAGATGAGGAAGCTGGAGCTTAGAGAAGTGAAGTCACTTGCCCAAGGCCACTCAGCAAGGAGGTAGCTGAACCGAGATTCAAAACAAGCCTGTCAGATTCTGAAGCCTGTGCCCTTAATCAGTTTAGGAATAGATGGGTTTCTTATGACTGAGGGGCCTGCAGATCCTCTGGGCAAAGAAAGCCTGAGGTCCTGGGGGTTTGGACTTCGTAGGGAGGACAAGTGAAGGAAGTGCTGTGGGAGAGGGGCAGGGATTGAGGAGGAAGCATTGAAGCCCCCCAAGGGCTCAGAGAGGGAGCAGGTGGGAAATGGAAGAACTGAGATTCAAGGAATCTTGAATCTTGGTCCATTGGATCAGTGCCCTTGGACAAAGGGAAGCGTAAGGGGGTGGGGGGTACAGGGAGAGGCCTTCTCACTGCTGGAAAGATACTGTAACCTGCTGGGATTGTTTGGCCTTGGATCTCAGGAATCCAACCCCACCCTCCCCTCCCCAGGCCCACTGGGCATCTGGTCCTGGGCAGTTTGGGGGATTGGTGGAAGATGTGAATTGAGAGCCCAGGGAACATCCACCATACCACCCTCTTTTTCCCAGACATTGTACTGTCAGGTTTATACACATGGCCCCCCTTGCAGATGAAGTGATTGAAGGAATGGACTGAGTCCCTGGTGGAGTCAGACCACCTGGAATTCTTTTCTTCCCTCCCCCTGCCTCTGTACTTGGAGTGCCAGGGGCCTTTGGTAGGTCCCAAAGCTGGGAAAAGTCACGCTCCTCTTACCCCCTCACCGCAGCGTCTCCCTGTCTCCTCCACTTTCCTGGAGGAGACTTATGACCAACTGTATGTCTGCACTTGGTTGTGGAAACCCTGGGCTTCCAGACAAGGGGCTGGCCCAGCCCTCTCTGGTCTGAGGAATCTGAGATAAGGTGAACCCCCTTGCTGCCCCAGGCCCTGACCCAAAGTGGGGGAACACTACCCTCCTAGGGGCAGAGTCCTACATGCTGAGGGATCTTTAGAGATTGGCTCGCCAACCCTCCCATCTCACAGATGAAGACACTGAGGCTCGGAAAAGGGCACGGCCTGGCTCAGCATCATGCTGCAGTTGAGGAGCAGGGAGAGCTCAAACCCGAGGCTCCTGACTCCCAGGGCTGTGGGGTCTCTGGTCTGGCCCTGAAATTCCCTTCCCTCCCCAACAGAAGGGTTAGGGCTAGGTCACTGACGAGTTGAGAGGGAGCTCTTATTAAGTGTCTCTTATCAGACCTTAATAATGGTCCTTAATGCCACTTGGGACTTGAAGAGAGCTCCGGAAGTGGGTGGGAGAAGAGGCCTCTGGTGGCATGGGAAGAACAGGATTTTACAGCCAGTCAGAGCTGGGCTCACACACCCTGACTCTGCCAGTCACTAGCTGTGTGACCTTGGGTTAGTCACTGACCCCGAGGGAGTGCCTCCATATGGCGAGGGGGATTTAGTGAGACCACGTGTGTCTCTCACTTGGTTGTCACTTGATAAATTCAAGTTTATTATGGTGTTGTGAGTGGAAAGGCCCGAGAGGGACCTTTACCCATCCCTCCACCCTGGAGAGGAAGAGGCTCCCTCTGAGCCCAACACTTTGTGTTTGCACTTGCTTGTGTGTGGCTTCGGATTTCCCAGGCACTCTGTGAGGTGGGTGTGAGTCCTACTTCACAGATGAAACTGAGGCCCAGAGAGGCTGATTCATTCGACCAAGGCCTCTCTAATCCAGACCTTCTGACTCCCAGGCCTTTCCTCTCTTGACTTCATTGTGGCTGCCTC